AAATTAAAAAAGTGTGTTTCTTTACAATGCTAAAATAGCAATGAACATTTATAAAGATTTTCACATCCCGAATTTCAAAACATTTCTGATACTTATGTTATTCTCAATTCTGACCTTATTTTTCTCTTGTGCTGTAACTTGTAAGTTTACATAAAACATGAGCGACAGCGAAACAAATATTTTCAAGTCAAATTCGCCAGAAGAATTGTCATCGAAGGATTTGTTATCCGAAGAATTGAAGTTGATAAAGAAGGAAAAACAAGTTTCTGCAATGAAATTCATTGTTGCTACTCTACCCAATATAAATGAATTGGACGAAAAGAATGATATTAATTTATTAGTGACATTTACTTCCTTGTATAACATCAAATTAGTTTACAAAACTAATCTTGATTAGAAAATTGATGAAAAAGATACTCCAGTTTTCTTAAATATGAAGTTCAACTCCTTTGCCAAAATAATCGAAGGACCTTTTATATCATCAATTTTACATAGAGTTTTTAGTTGAAGATGATGTAAATGACAATCTTACATATACCCAAGCTCACGTAGAAAATCTGAAAAGGTTATTCGTAGATTTCCCTGAAATGATCTTAACACAATTGGATAATATTCTCACAGAAGTTACACTAGTAAATGGCGGGAACAAGGATGAATTATTAATTCTTATGTTTGCTACTATTTTTTTGAGAATCAATCGGTGCAGCCGAAACTACGTACATTATACTTCAATATTGAAATTAAAACAATGAAAGTAGATGTAGGTAAGCGTCAGAGGACTGAAGAACAAAAAAAAAGATTCGTTATGAAATACTTTGACAGTATATATAATAATGATGACGTTCTGATGAATAATAACAGGAAATTTATAAACGAGTGATTGATAAATAGACAAAGGATGCCAGAAAGGAAGTAGAGGAACTTGTTAAGCCTGAAATAGCTAATGTCTAAATTGAATAATCACTAGTGTCATAAATTCGAAATTTGTGACATTAGAGATTCGGAATAAAGACCGTCTCTTCCTTTATTCAGTACGTAATTTCCATTTCCATTTTTGTATAATGTATTAAACGTTATAATTTCTATTACTGTGTTACATACGTGAAATAAGAGTAAAAGTTCTTTGATTCCCGAAAGTTCGCGATAGCACGTCAACTTAGTGGGCTGAAAGTTGGTAGCATGCTAATGTGCTAGGCATCGCGTTAACGTGTAGTTTAATAAACCAAATGTATATAAGCACTGCTTTTGAGTACAATAAAGCAGGGAGATTTCTTCGATATTACCCTGTAATAATAAAGGAAGTAAGCTAGTGTAGAACCGAAGTGACCTTTTTAAGTAAAATTGAAAACTTATCTCTCAGTTGTAAATGTTTAGATTTTCTCGTAACTATTAGAGATAAATCAGCCTGTTCAATCTAACTCTCCTGAACAATAATTACACTAGTCAACTTTATTGAATATTCGGTAGGATTAAAAAAGTTTACACATACACGATCGTGTAACGTGCAATGTCTTGTATGTATTCTTATGCTTAGGGAAATTAAAATGCTTTATAATATTGATTCCTAAACAATTTAACATTTTATTTTATTGAATCGATTTAAATTTTTTCTTTAAAAATAATCTCAGAATTAGCCAAAGATAATTTTGGTAATTTAAAACAATAAATGATAATTTAATTCACTAATGTTCTTGAAAAATGAATTTATTTGAATTAAACAGCAATAAAAAATGTGTGGAGGATCATATTCAAAAGAATCATTAGCTGTGATGATTTTTTGTTATATTCGCCCATGTTTTTGATTTTCTCTGCGCAACGGTTAATACATGAAGACTAAATTTAATAACCTATGCTGGTATTATTACTCTCATCATTAAGCATATTTTTAATGCTTTCGATCTCTTTTACACAAATGTTTATTTCATAATTTTTAAATCAAAGATCAAAAGTGATGCTGACTAAGTTTTAATCCATCTTATTTTGCTTTTCTTGAAAATGGAGATCTGGCGATTACCAAAACGAAATCAGTTTATCAAGCCTATATCTTTCAAAGTCAAAATTTAATGGCAATAGGGATATTAGTGGCTAGTTGGTCCCAGCTTGGCTCCAAAACCATGGCATAAGGATTAAACCATAAGCTATGACTTAAGCTATAGTTTTTAGCTATAATTTGATAAAAACTAATATTAACTAGCAATTAAATAGATTTAAATATTTATGTTTAATTCAATTTTATATATAAGTTTTTAAAAATAAATTTTATTGATCCAGATTAAAATAACCCAAACTATTATTAATTCAATAAAGTTTAAGCATATTGTTTAAGTAATACAAAATACATTAGTTAATTATTATTTTTTAGATTAAATTTTGGTGTTATATTTTTAGCTATAGCTTAACGCAAAATTTAAAGTTATATTCTTATGATATTTTAATTATATAATATTAATATTTCAAGTTAGCTTAGCCGGAAAACTATAGCTAAGCTAGCATTAAACAAGCTATTAATATTTTTAAATAACAAATATTAATATATATATAAAAATAAGGCTAAAATACAGTATAGGTGGTATACTTCTGTGACAAACAGGGGTGTAACAAATAGAATTGTTATGAAATTCGGGATGTGAAAATCTTTATAAATGTTCATTGCTATTTTAGCATTGTAAAGAAACACACTTTTTTAATTT